CACAGGGACACCCAGAGACACACAGAGACACACAGAGACACACAGAGACACACAGAGACACACAGAGACACACAGAGACACACATAGACACACAGAGACACACAGAGACACACAGAGACACACACACAGACACACACACACACACAGACACACACAGACACACACAGACACACACAGACAAACACACACACAGACAAACACACACACACACACACACACGGACAAACACACACACACACAGACACACACAGACACACACACACAGACACACACAGACACACACACAGACACACACACACAGACACACAAACACACACAGACACACACAGACACACACACACAAACACACAAACACACAGTCCTTTTCTGAGAGTGTCATTCCGCCTCATTCGACTTCCAATTGTGCTCTAAGAATCCGAGAATTGGTGCATTATTTGGCACCCCAAGCCGAAACCTGGCAGCTTTGCTGCCAAAGCGGCTTAGAACTCGCAATAGGCTCTCTCAGTAAGCTCAGCCACCGTATCCCAGGATAGGGAAAAAGCAGCCTGGACACATGCATTTCTTTCCGTTCGTTTCTCTCCTTTCATTTTGCTCCTCTCTCTCTCTCACCTCCTAATCGGCGTGACAGCACAGTCTTCACAACACTGACAAAAGGGAATACGTTTCTTTCCGATTCCTTTTTTGGAAACTTTCTTTCTCCGTTCTCCGCTCTCTTTCTTTCTTTCTTTCTTTCTTTTATTTTTGTTCGCTCCTTGACACGGCCCTGGGCGCCCATGGCCCGTGCTCGGTCCCAGTCTCGGAAGACCTCGGCGACGCCCCAGGCGATGCCTTCGCGGGTGGCCGAGACCACCCAGCCGTCCTCTCCATGGCTCACAGGGCAGCCCACCTGGTCCGAAGCCTTGGAACGAAGGAACGAAACGAACGAAACGAAACGCGTCAATCAAAAAAACATAATGATTCTCTTGGGACACTTGAACCGAGGCACAACCACAACCTTCCCAGCCGCCCACGCCTCACACACCGTGAGGCCAAAAGGCTCATATCGACTGGGCACCACCACACAGTCAGCAATCTTGAACCTCGGATTGGAACCGGATGAGAATGCTCTGCCAAGCCTCCAGACATCCCAAACTCCAAATCAACGCCTTGCTTACACAGAGTGTTCCTGTCAATGTGAGTGGCAAATTCACCAGCTCGTCACCACTGCGCGCGCCTAAAAACCGGCAGGAGCCTTCTATGTCCAACTCCTTGGCTCGGTGGTCGCAGTGCATCTTGTTGTCTCCGTCACCCACGAAGACCACTTTGGCGGCCGGGTGGTTGGACAAAATGTCGGGCACGGCCTCGATCAAAATGTCGCCGCCCTTCATGCCCCCCACCATGCGCCCCACGAAGAGCACCACCGGGTCCAAGGCGCCGATGCCATAAACTGCCTTCACCGCCCCCGGATCCTCCAGCATGCCGTCGAAGCGAGCGCACTGGATGCCGTTGTGTACCGCCCACACCTCCGGATTCTGAAGCAAAGCATGCAAGGCATGCAAGGCATGCAAGGCATGCAAGGCATGCAAGGCATGCAAGGCATGCAAGGCATGCAAGGCATGCAAGGCATGCAAGGCTGTTGTTCTTTCTTAAGTTGACAAGTGGGACACGAGCCTTGCTGGTGGGCAGCTGGTAGATCTCGCAAATCTCATCCTTCAATCGCTCCGACACAGCGATCACGCGGTCCGCCACAAAGGCAGCCTCGCCCTCCATGCCGGCCACCCGCTCCGAGCCGCCCCCAGGTCCTTGCGACACTGCTCAGCATACATTTTCCATGCGACGGTAGACCCAATCCCATGGTCCCAACGCATGAGCCTCTACAAACATTCGTCCATTGCTCGCACCCTCTTGCAACGCTCACTGGCGTAACTCTTGCAACACAGCGTGTCCTCCGCTGCGGCCTTGCTCCGTGCTGTGGAAGGTGAAGATACATCGGATGCCGTGAGAGTTCTTGCACTGGACCATGGCCTTGCAGGCCATCCAGTCATGGGCGTGGGCGATGTCAAAATCACCCACGAGGGACATAGTCTCTCCTGCAGCTCACAAGACATGGTGTCAGAGAAATATGTGCTCCGCTGTCGCGTGAAGCAGAAACGTGCAAACCAACGGAGGGACGCACTTCTAATAAATTTGGGCTCGCCTGACGTAACCCGAGCTCCTGCAAAAATCAACGTGATGTATCGCTTTTTGGTACGCTTTGAGAGGCCTGTTAAGAACCAGAGAGTGACTCGAACCCCGAGCCCAGAGCCACATGTATTTGATTTTTGGGATGGCAAAAAGTTGCCTCGCAAAGGCTTTGACATAAGGATAGCTTGCAAAGCCAGACACGCCAACAGCAGGCCATCCTAGAGCAAGCAAGAATAAACGAGGATACATGTTCGGCCGGAAACACCACAGTTGCCTTTCTTGATTCTGTCTGAGGTGCCAAAGCTCCAGACCATAGAGTTGCACATCTTCTCCATCGCATCCACAAAATCATCTGTGTCATGGCTTTGTACGCGGTGGTACATCACCCCATAGATCTCCTGAACACTTTGATTCCAACAGGAGACTCCACGAGCATTCTCCAAAACCCGGAAATCCGACTTGTAGACAGGGGACTGGGATATTTCAAGGGTTTTCAGGCCATGCTCAAACTCTTACGGTCCCAAAACCTGCAACACCTGCATGTGTTCGGTCTGTACCTTTGCCGACAGCATTGTGTCAAGGCCTGAGGGACTGCTTCAAGGCGGGTTTGCATCTGTGTGGCGTTCCAGCCCCTGCTTTCGGACATTTTCCTTGATCTTCCGCAGCATAAGCTGCGAATAATGATGCCTGATGCTGGCTTAAGCCATCTTAAGTCAGCTCAACTTGTCCCCGAACGAACTGTTTGCAACCCAGGGTTCCGACGGATCCGAAAGCGAAATTGCTTGCGCATCGACGCTTTCTTGACCTATGGCCTATGGCCTATGCCCTTCCGATGCCCAAACTATCCAACTTCCGGTGCATTCCTCGTGCAGCTGCTGGCCCTCAGCCCGGCGTGTGAAGACGTGGACCTGCAGGGAAGCGGAAGCTCGAATCAAAATAGAAGCCTTCAAACCTTCCAATCCATTCCAATCCATTCCAATCCATTCCAATCCCACGTTGCCTGTGCTTTTTCCGTCTTCGTGGCAAGTCTTGTCAACGCAAGCGTGCTGCCCGCCGCCCGCCGCCCGCCGCCCGCCGCCCGCCTCGTGCTTGCGGCGCTGCAGCGCAGCGGCCAGCTCCGTGACGTGGGGCGCCACGCCGCCCACGGCGATGGAGTGCAGTGACTCCCACGAGAACATTGCGATGCGCATCGTGAAAAGAAGCTCTCAAAGTCAAAATCGAGAGAAACACAAGAGACAGCCAATGATGGTGTGTACGAACCAAGTTGGAAAGGATCCGGTGTACAGAGAAACTGGGCTTGTGCCTTGAGAAGACAGTTGAGCACCACGACAGCGTATGTCAAAACTCCGGCAATCTCGTCTCAAGACTTTGTGCTCTTTTGCCAGAAAGCACACACTTTGCGGCTCAATTTCATCTGCTGTTCCTTCGTTTTGGTCCTGCAAAGCTACCAGGCAAAACAGACCGAAACCACCCTCGTCCTTGCCGCTTCGAAGCCTTCGCTTCTGTGTTCTCGGCCGCTTTGGCCGATGCAACTTTCCTTCTCACCTCGCTCTCAGGCTTTTCCTCTTTTGGCTTCGCTTCCTCCGCTTCCGCTTCCTTCGCTTCCTTCGCTTTGGTTTTCGCCTTGGCCTTCGCCCTGGCCTTGACGGACTTGGCGCGGCGGCGCTCCCAGAAGTCCCGGTTCTTCTGCTCTTTTCGGGACCCGACCCGGGCCGTCGCCTATTCAATCGCACGCCAAGATTCCCCAAGAGTGCCCCAAGAGTGACATCTAGACAAGTGCCAGTGACACGCAGCCATGGCCTGAGTGCGAAGTTCTGCCTTTCTGGCACACTCTGCTTCATAGGCCTCCACTCCCATAGCCTTGCGGTCAGTGCCTCACGCCCCTTGCCTCCCAGTTATGGCCTTGGCTCTTTCAAAGTGTCGCTCATTGCGCTTGTGTCCGCCACTTTGCAAATGCACCTCGTCTCTCTCTCCTTCTCTCTCTCCCGCTCTCCTCGTGATATCAATCTATCTCGCCTCGAGGGCCTTCTCGTTAAGCAGGATTTTGTCGGGACACAACTGGCAGTGGAAGTTGCCCCTGAACAATTCCTGCGCGGCTCCAAGCTTTGACGCGCAATGTGCAAAATGGTCTCCTTTGGCTCAGGAACCGCTGGTTCGGATCCCGAGTCCTCAGACCCACAATCCTAAATCCCAGCAAACATTTTGTCAGCTCAGCATCCCGCGTCAGACAGGTCATCTCCTGCAAGGAGCTAAGCATGCTGCAAAGACCAAGCATGGTAACTCACCCGCCTGCTCCGGGCAGAAGGCGCCTCTGAATTCATCTCAAGTCGAATCTTTCTTCACTATCGCAAACTCCGGGTCGCATTTCTTTGGACGCGCCGATCTCTGCCCTGCCTTTGCAGCTTTTGCTGCTGCTGCTCGGTGACTTCGTCCTCGGAGTCGGCTTCTTCTTCCCACAGGACAGCACGCTTGATCATGGCGCGGAGCTGCGCAGTTGGTGTTTTGAGAGAAGTTGAGAGGTGCACTCACGTGCACTCGCTGCAAAGGTAGCATGGCTGGGAGTGGCAAGCCAACGACCTAGCCCCAATCAATCACACAAAGCCTGCTGGCTTGTGCCCCCGTTAGATTGGTAGCAGCACATGTGGCATATGTCATGAAGCATCCTGAGCTTGAACAGGAAATTATCATTGGATCAGCTCCTTCGCGTATCTCGCAAATGCCTTTTTTGCCATGGCATCCGTGCTATTCGAAGCGCTTCCCAGGACCTGCAGGGCCCTTGGGCTTGGCATCGCTCTCCAAAATGCTCCTGCGGATCGGCTCGGCTCAGCGGCTGAAAATTTATTTTGCAGCATCTTTTCTGGGCGCTCTCCTGACAAGACCGGCATAGGTCTGCGGGTTCAGCCCGTGGTTCGCGACCAACAGAAAGACCGGCACAGTCTGGGCTCACAACATCACATTGATCTCTCAGCGATCTCCGGGTGCCGAGCAATAACTGCTATGATGAGGTTGGTGAAGAAAGCCGAAGGATTGATCTGCCACGGTTTAATTCACATCACATGGGCACTTCAGCGAGGCAAGCAAAGTCGGGCTTGCAATAGACGGTGTCCTGCCAGATTTGCCCTCTCTCACAATGTGACAGTCGGAATAGCCAAGCCAGGTCTGATGACCTCTCATCCTTGCACAATTTCAGGGGCAAGCAATCAGGAAGCAATGCATCCTGAAAGCCTGCCAACTGCTCCAAAGCGCAGCAAATTGCTTCGGTCCGAGCCAAAGCATAGCGCAAGTTGGCTCAAATGCTGAAACTGCCGCAAGTCTCGGGCTGACTGTCCTCCGCTCCTTCTGGCGCCTTCGCTCCTAAAGTGAAAGCCAGTCAGTCTCCGACAGCTTCAAGCGGGGGGAAGGCAAAGCAGACCGCAGCGCCTCTGGAAATTTCTTTCGGGCGCCTTTTGGGTTGGAATTCATCGGAAATAGAAAACTTGAAGTAGATTGCCACATATTGCCACTTTTGGCACCGCGCACGTCCGTGGCCAGCAGCCTGCAGAGCTTGCTACAGCGCCGGCTCCAGTCCACTCGGGAAAAGCTGGATCTGTGGGGCACTGTGGTTGATGCTATGATGTGGTGGAAGATATTCACGGTCGGCCTTGGGGTTGGGGCCAGATTGTGGCCGTTTGGGAAGTGGGGAGCCTCCTTGTAGAAGTTTTCCAGTGGAGTTAGTTTGTTCCGGGCAGCAGGCCGGGCGTCTGAGGTGAGCCGCATCCAGCATTGCGAGCATCATCCCAAATGATGCGGATAATGCAACATGGGGAAAAGAGGGGGCAGGGAAATGCAAGGGAAGCAAAGGGACATGAAGGGAACTGAATGGAGATGACTTGAAGGGGACGAAGGGACATGAAGAGAGACAGAGTGGCGGTGCCCGGTGGTCGGCCGTGTCGCGTCAGCGTGATATGAAGCGAGCTGGAAGGCGTCTCGAGTTCGAGTCCTTCTCCCACTGGGCATCCTCCAAGGCCTTCGCCTCCTCCGCCTTGGTCTGTACCTGGAAGAACCCATGGGAGCTATGAACTACTATGCACCACTGGGAACCACTAGGAACCACTCGAACATTCGTCTCGCAGTCTCGCGCCTTGCTGCCGGTGGCAAGCTTTGCTGCACCCTGGCAATTACGAATCGCGAGTCGACGGGACTCGCACTGCAGCGTTGTCGGGCTGCCGGGCTGCCAGCGCTGCGTGCCTTTTTACCCTTTTGCTCCGCGCGCTTTAAGCCAGCGCTGCCAATCCTCACTGGAGAAGCTGCCATCTTCGTCTCCCACGCCAGGCCCGGCAACTGCACGCAAAGCACAAGGCCCCCAAAAAGGCCCGCAGGCTCTGCGCCCCCCAAAAGGCCCCATGAACGTTTCGGTTTCCGAAAATATGTTAATATGCTGCCTTGGTCAAAGAGACTCTTCCTCTCGTCCAAGAACTTCACGGACTGCAGGAGTGAGTTCACTTGATCCTCCATGGATTGGATGCTCACCCTGGCAGACCTCAAGACTGTGTCGTGCCGTTGCCGTGGCACACACCGAAACACCCAGCCTTGACAAATCCATTGCGGAGAAATGCTTCGCCAAGAGGGCAAGGAAGGGCCAAAGCTCTTTCGCGCGCTTTTTCTTTGCAGCTGACAACTCCTGCGAACCAACACGGCAACAATGGAGAACGAAAGCATACAGTTGATGTTTTTAGGGGGATTGTCATCAATCGCCTTGGTGCACAAAGACTGTCAACAAACCGGCACACCACGTAATGCATGCGAAATACATGCATACAACATCCGCCAACAAAGGCAACATATCCGAACCAATGGCATGCCAACATGCACACAAAAGGCGCAAACCGCTACAGCCTTGTGCATGCAGGAAGTATGCCCAAGAATGCGTAGCCAATGCATGCAAAATACACACGCATACAAAATCCCCCCAAAAAAGTCCCCACGTCCTAACCAATGCATGCCAAAATGCCAAAATGCACACACACACACACAAGGCACAGAAGAATACAGAACACATGTTGCATGCCTTGTGCACGCATGTTGCATGCCTTTACATGCGTAGTGTTTGACCAGCATGCTGCAAAGTTCATGCAATATGAGTTCAAAATGCAAGCAAACACAATGACACATTTCATGCCGTGTGCATACATGAAATATGGCCAAATATGCATACATCACAAAAAGAAAGCCAACATGCCATAACCAATGCATGCAAACAAATCCAAACAGAACTGCATGCCAAAATGCTCACAAAAGGCACAGAACAATACAGCACGCATTTTGCACGCATTTTGCACAAACATCGATACATAATTGCATGCCAAAATGCATGCAAACCAATATACATGCAAAATGCAAGCAAACACAAGAACACATTTTGCAAGCCTTGTGCACGCACAACGTATGCCCAAAGAGGCATAATCAACGCATGCAAAACAACATACGTACATGCAAAATGCAAGCAAGCATAAGAACACCATGAATACAATATCCCAAAAAGAAAGGCACCTTGGCATGCACACAAAAGGCACAGGACAGTACAGCACTCAGTTTGCATGGTTTTTGCATGCGTACTGTCCAAAAATGCAGCAACAATCATGCATGTATACATGCAACATGCAAGCGAACACAAGGACACATTTTGGATGCATGAAGTATGCCCAACAATGCATCACCAATGCGTGCACAATACACATGCGCACAGTATCCCCCAAACAAAGGCAACATCCCCACCAATGCACGCCTGTTGTGTGCATTTTGGCATGCAGTTCCGTTTCGTTTTTGGCAAAAGGCATGCAACATGTGTGCTGTATTACGCTGTGCCTTGCTTGGCATGCCATTCTGTGTGGACTGTTTTTCGCAGACAACTAGACTAAAGCACGCATGTTGCATGCCTTTGCATGCGTAGTGTGTGACCAGCATGCTGCAATATTAATGCAATATGCATGCAAGATGCAAGCAAACACAATGACACGTGTTTGATTCCCGAAAGCGTTAGCAAAGGGTTCTTTGGAAAATAAGGTTGCTGTTGCGCAGCTTGACATGGTCAGTTTGACATTGTCAGCTTGACGGTCTCAGCTGGACATTCCCAGCTTGACATGATCAGCTTATGGCCATAGCTTACGCCGCCTGACTTGCAGCCTTAGCTTACGCAGCCTTAGCCTACGCCGCCTAGTAAGCTAGCCTGACTCACGCAGCTTAGCTTACGCAGCCTGACTTAAGCAGCCTAGCTTACGCAGCCTGACTTAAGCAGCCTAGCTTACGCAGCCTGAAAGAAGCAACCATCTTCCGCAGCTTGACTCACGCCTAGCTTACACAGCCTGACTTAAGCAGTCTAGCTTACGCAGCCTGACTCGCGCAGCCTAGCTTGCGCAGCGTGAAAGAAGCAGCCATCTTCCTCACGCCTGGCTTACACAGCCTGACTTAAGCAGCCCAGCTTACGCAGCCTGACTCGCGCAGCCTAGCTTGCGCAGCCTGAAAGAAGCAGCCGAGCTTCCGCAGCCTGACTCACGCTTAGCTTACGCAGCCTGCTTACGCAGCCGGACTTAAGCAGCCTAGCTCACACAGCTTCCCCTACACAGCTTAGCTTACGCAGCCTAGCTCACGCAGCCTTCAATTCTATCTTCTTTCTTAGCCGGGATTGGTGGGTCTGGCGGGCGCAGGCGGATGAACCCTCTGCAGGGATCGTGCGTGTCGGAGTCGGAGCGATCTCGGTGTGGCGCCGTGCGAATTTTCGACGTGGCCGACGAACCCTCTGCGGGGATCAGACAGTGAGGGTGAACTAACCCCTGCGAACGCAATGGTGTCGGCGCCACGTGCTGCATTGCGCGCAAGCCGCTCAACCAGAAATGCCTTGTTCTCTAACAGTGTGCGAAAAAGGTGGGTGAGCGTCAACATTCGAGCGTTGCCGGGCAGCACAGCCTTGATCAGCTCGTCTGCTCTGGCTGAATGTTTGGGCAAAGGGTCTGCCAGACAATCTTCACGCCGCACATGCGCAAGGTCGTGCATCTGTCCGCCATTGTTTTTCTTCCGCAACGTCTGAACGAACTGCACGGTTTCTTTTGGTCAAGTTGACGGGTTGTCAAGGTTATTCAGTAGACGATGTTGGTACGTGAGGAACATGGGCATGAGTGGCTCATGCCTTCCGAGTCTATTGCGCGCATCTATTCCAGCATCCATGTCTCACTTAAGCCAATTTCGACACACCCAAGAAACGGCACCAGGATATGCCCGACCCACCAATAGCCTCATTGAGTCTGGTCCATTGACCTCATCGACGACAAGACTTTTTTTTATTGCGCTATCAATGTGTCAACCTCCCTGTCTATAAGACTATTTTCATGCGGTGGGAGAGTCGAGAGTTTCACAACGGACAATCCTGTCCCTGACTTTCAAAGGCATCAGTCAAAAGAGACCCACATTTTAGCACGTCTAGGTTCCTCTTTTGCTTTCCAACCATGAGTGCGAGAATTCGATTTCAACATGCGTTGCAATGTGTATATACTGCTCATTTGCCAGACGAACAAATCAGATTGCGTCACAACAGTGATTTCAACACACTGAATCTAACGTTGAAAGGCTGCGGCGTACAGGGCTAATCCTGAATGTGATACAAGAACTCGATGTGGGTGTTCAAAAGAAACGCGTCTCTGTTTTGTGTTCTTTTTTTTTACAGGCATTGAACCCCACGCAATCTCACTCCGCAACATTGGCTCAAAGGGCCCTTCTTTCTCACCTCGTCTATGCATACATTGCATTGGAGATAAAACGGCGCGCTCACAGGTATACAGCATTTGCAGGTCTATTTATCAGAGACATCCATTGGTCAATACATCTATCAGTGTACATCAATTGGATCCTACTGAAATGCGGTTTGGGACCTCCCCCCCCCCAGCGACTCAAAGCCGCTTTCCGTCATCAGTCAGGGTCATGGTTCCCCCCCCCAATAAAGCCCTAGCGTAAGCGGGGCTTGGGGCAAGGGCTCAGGTGCTTCTTTGGGCTCATGCTTGTATGATCTTGTATGATCTTGTATGATCTTGTATGTTTGCTTGCTTGCTGCTTACTTGCGAGCTGGCGTGCATTCAACGGATCAAAAAGTCGGAGGTGCAGCCCTTCAATGTGCTCATGACCGGGAGGGCAAATGTCTTAAACCTGCATGTTTCACGTTTCATGCTTCAGCTCGCTCTCGCTTCCTCGAGGTCCAAGTGTTGATCGCCGTTGGCGTCCAGGCGCGCCCAGGCTTTGGCAGCGGCTGCGTGCACTCGCCGCCCCGCGAAGGCCACGAAGCACGCCTCGTCGCATCCGACGGCTTCGGCTTCGGCTCCAGGACTCAAAGCGCTCGAAGCGCTCGAGGCGCTCGAGAGAAGCGGAGCTAAGATGCTCGGGGCATCTGGCACCGTGGGCACCTTCAAATAGTTGAGCTTTGGCTGCCGCGGCTTGCCATGGCACAAGGCACACAACACCAGACGCCACATCGGCTCCACAACACATCTCCCGGATCAAATGATCTCTCTCCTCCGAATGCTCATTGGTCTCTTGCCGAGTCTTGCGTTGCTCCATTGCCAAGTGAACCGTTGACACATCGAGACCGATTGCAATCTTGCACAATTGCGTCCTGCGTTTCGACCGGACGGCTGTCCAAGATTTGAAACAAGCTATCAAAGCCTCTCAATGAGAGGCAGCCACTGCTCTCTCTCGCCATCCGCCCGCACCCCCGCACCCTGCCCTGCACTCTGTGCACACCTTGCTGTCAAGGATGTCGTTCAGGACGATGGCTGTGCGCTCCCCAGCGATCCTCGAAATCTTCATGCTGTTGCCCTAAATGAGTGCGTGGTTCGTAGTAGCTGTTGGGCACTCCAAGGCGCAGAATTTGTCTCAGCCATAGATGCCGCCACTCCTGATCTGTGAAAGAAACAAAGGGAAACATTCTTCAGACAGAAACGCGGCACCAAGGCATGCCTGCACAATTGCCTGGTTGCCATTCTTTGAATCCATGTATGCGCCAGCAAACAATGAAGCAGTGAGCGCTTGCAGTACTGCCATAATACACGACTGCATACATTGTGAATGAATAAACAAATAAATGAATGAATACATGAACGAATGAATGGATGAATACAGGAATCAATAAATAAATGAATGAATGAATGAATGAATGAATGAATGAATGGATGGATGAATGAATTAATGAATGAATGCATGCATGAATGGATGGAATCGAATGAATAATTGAATGCGATGACTAATGGCATGGAATGAATGCTGGAATGTACTGAACTGGAACGACATGGACTGAATGCACGCATGAACGCATGAATGAATGGACGAGCGAATGCAGGACCAAATGAATGATCAAATGGATGTGAAGCCATGACCCACTGAAGGGATGAATGAATGAACACACAAAGAAATGGACGAATCATGTATGAATGGATGAGATCTGGAGCCCAACAAGCCAGATTTCCATGAGATTCACAACTTTCCTCTGTCTCAGTGTCTTTGGGTGTCTTTCAATCTTTTGATTCACACTCTCCTGGTACGCAGCCTCGTCGATTTCCGCAGGCTGCGCTGCAGCATTGGGACCCGCCAGGCGCTGCCCCGTCAGCGGGTGCGTGTACGCCTGGACGGGAAAAGAACGGAAAGGAGAAGAGACGGAGACAAGGACATTTATATCTTTCCGTCACTTCCGTCACTTCCGTCACTTCATGTCACTTCCATTACACCTTGCAATTTTGGGACATGTCGCCTTTCTATCTATCGATCCTTGCCTTCTGGCAGGAGAACTGCACGGCCTCATTCAGCCAGCGCTCGAAGCTCTTGAAGGGGCCATCCTCATCGAAAACGAAAGGGAGAACGGCTCGGAACCAAATCGAAACTGCATGAGATGTGTGCCCCACGTGTTGAACATGCGGATGAACCGATCCCCGCAGACCCTTTCATGCTTTGAAGGAGGAAAAGGCGCCCCGGAGGTTTGCAGGTGAGCCCAAGCCGCTCGCGCACATGGAGGTGAGGCGGCGACGGTCCGGCCAAGCCCAGGGAAGCCGAGAGCCGGGCACTGGGGGGCGAGGCGGACGGAGAAGATCTTGAGATTTTGAGATGGGTGAGCCGATGGAGGGCGCCCTGGAGGTTCACTCGGATCGGCGAAGCGTCGAGAGCCCTCCCGGGCATGGAGCCTCTGGTGAGGGAACCGAGCTCGGCCTCTCGAAGGAGCGCTTAGCAGAGCTCTGCATCTAAGCCAGGGAGTACCACGAGGTCGAGCCCTTCGGCATCCAGGAGATTGAGCTCTATGGAAAGGATCGGTGCGGGTCCGAAGGCAGGAGCGGAGGTAAATCCCTTTTGGTCTAAGAGGGTGCAGGAGGTGAGGCTTCGTGAAGCGAGGCCGGAAGGACTGCCACCGGTCCCGGAGTCGGGTGATGAGGAGGAGCACCTTTGAAGGCTGCGGAGGAAGAAGCGGCAGCGAAGAGGAATAGGGCCAGGGCCTTCATGTCACCGGAGGAGCGGTTGGGATGAGAAAAGGGAAGTGGCCTTGCAGGCTGTCAAGAGGGATTTGATGCGGGTAGGAGGAGATGGTCCGCCGGAGGAGAGCTGCGGAGCAAGGGGCCTTCGGGTGGAGGTGGAGAAGATTGGGATGGTGCGGGCAGCGCCGGAGATAAGGGAAGGCCGGCGACCCCGGAGGACCGATTGGAGGGGGACCTTGCTGAGGCGCTGCGGCAGCGGAACGAGCTGCGGCACAAGGTGGAGCAACTGGAGCTGGAGAAGATTGTGGTGGAGGCGGAGGCCGAGCAGAACTGGAGGATGGCAGAGCTGTGGGAATCCCGGGCGCGGCAGGCCGAGAAGCACGTGGAGCTCTTGACCGAGCAGATCACGGTGCTGGAACAACGGCCTCAGCAATTTCACACGCCGCAGCAGCAAGAGGAGCCGCAGCCACCGAGGCCGGAGACTTCTCCACCGCTGCCTCCAGGAATTCGGTCCAAGAGGCAGAAGCTGGAGATGACGCCGGGTGGCACCAGGGTGCCGCAGGACCCACCCCCGTATGATCATGAATGGCCAAACCCCGAAAATGGTTGGGTCATGGACGGGGTGAGTTACAAGCCGGCATGGGGCCGCTCGAGGTCTACGTCAAGGGAGGAGAAGCCGGCCGCAAGCAGACCGAGGTGGACACAGGGTCGAGGTCGACTTCCAAGGATGTGGGCGATGCCCGGAAACCAGAGGAGGAGAAGCCATCAGCTGGCGCCCCTGCTGCAGCAGAAGCCAAAGAGTCGGCCGGAGGTTAAGGAGATGCCCAACGAGACTGGACGGGCTACGGATCTGCCGGAGTTGGTGGGGGATGGAAGTCCGCTGACCTTCGGGGACTGGATGGCCACGATCGACCACTACATGAAGGACATCTCGACCTACAGCGCGATGTGGTGGGAGGAGGTGTGCGCCAGTGCCAAGGAGGCCTATGCGGAGTGGTTGGTGGCGAGCCCGTTGCAGCGGCTGCGCATCAAGCCGGAGCTTCCGCTGGTCTACATGGACTTGCCTCGCACTGAGCAGAGAGGGGTGGCCATGGTCCTCAAAGCACTCCCGGAGAGCGTCAAGAAGGAGCTGGTGGCGAACAGGCAGTTGAGCATGGTGAACATCATCTATCGCCTGTACATCCTGTACCAGCCGGGAGGAGCCTCGGAAAGACAGCAGATCCTGAACGCGCTGCTGGACACCAAGGGCGGGAACGCTTCGGAGGTGGCTAAGCAGCTGAGGTCGTGGAGGCACTGGAGGAAAAGGGCGCTGGAGCTTGGGGTGGCGTTGCCGGATGCCACGTTGTTGGTGTCTGCCCTGGACAAGTTCGCAGCGGCCCTGTCGAAGCTGAATCAGCAGAGCAGCTATCGGATGTCCACGGTGAGAACGGAGCTGAACCTGGACACGAGGCCGACTCAGGAAGCGGTGGAGAGCTTCGAGTATCTCCAGGCGGAGTCGGAAACGGCGGAGCTGGCGAAGGGCGGCAAGGAGGTCGCTCCCAAGGTGAAGGCGATCGGCGGTGCAGGAAGAGAGGAGGCTGGCCCCTGGAAGCCATCGGGTGGTGGCGGGACTCCCGGGAAGCCGAGGGTGGTGGATTTGTCAAGGGCGTGCAAATGGTACGCGACCGACGCGGGTTGCAGGTTTGGCAAGAACTGCAAGTTCGCCCACGTGGGACAGCCTGCATCGGCAGAAGGAGCGGTGCTGGAACTGCGGGAGTCTGGAGCACCGCAAGGCGGAGTGTCCGCGGCCTGGACCCCAAGGAGGAGGATCTGGAGGAGGCCAAGCCGCGGTTGGAGGAGGCGAAGGAGCCAGGAGGAGAACCGGAACCCCGGTGGTGGAACAAGGGGGCTGAAGAAAGCTGCCGGGAGGAGCCATGCGGCGGAACCGGTGGTGGAAGAAGAAATGGAGGAGATCGCAATTGAGGAGACCGTGGGGAAGGACAAGCTGATGGCGGAGGCGACACAGCTGTTGAAGAGCCTCAGGATGAAGAAGCTCAAGGCGGCGAGGCTGTCAAAGATCGGGGAGTGCCAAAGTTGGGGGCTTCTTGATGGAGGGGCCACGCATGCGCTTAGGCAAGCGCAGAAGGGTGAGACAGGGGAGGATCGCATGGTGGAGCTTGCGGATGGCCGGGAGGTGGTTATGCAGATGACGGAGGGTCACACCTTGATCTGCAAGGAAGCCACGCAGGTCATTGTGCCGCTCGGAGCGTTGTACCTGCTGGGCTACAAGATCCGCTGGGAGGAGGGTATCTGCTGCATCGAGCACGCGAGCCGAGGCCCGTTGCCGGTGAGGATCAGGCAGTTTTGCCCGGAAGCCCCGACGGAGGTGGCTCTGAGGTTGGTGGAGGAGTTGGAGGAGTTCAACAAGGGATTGCTCCGGAGGGCGGCTACAGCGGCGACCAAGAGCACGAGGAAGCCGGACGTCAAGAAGGGCCTATGCGGCAGGGTGGCGGATGCATGGAAGAATGGAGAGATGGAGAGGGTGAAGGGGGAGTTTAGGCAGCTCTTCCCGGAGCTGCCGGAGGCGCTGCTGGAAAGGGCCCTGGGCACAGGAGCAGGAAAGGGAATCGCCTGGAACCCGGCGGCGAGGAGGAGGCATGCCAAGGCGACAGGGTTGATCCTGCACCTCTTCGCTGGGAAGAGTGCGAAGAAGTTCAACTACGGGCAGTGGGACAGAGAGGTCATCGCGGTGGATATCCTGTCGGGCCAGGATTTGCTGGAGGCGGACACCTTCGGGTACCTGGCTGGATTGGCGGTGGAAGGAAGGACGGAGGGGGTCATGGGTGGACCGCCGTGTAGGACGTACTCCTACTGCCGGCACTTTGAGCCGGGCCCTTATCCGGTCCGAGGAAGAGGAGAGGAGCGGTTTGGCTATGAGGAGCTGAGCGATGCTGAAGCAAGGAAAGTGGAGGGCGACAGTGTCTTGATGCTGCGCATGTGGATCCTGGCGGTGCTGGCGAAGGTGGCCGGGAGCTGGTGGGTCTGAAGGCATGGATGGTCAAGGAGCACCCGAAGAACCCGAGGAGCTTTGTCAGTAAAGAGGAGTGGGAGAAGGCCAAGATCCGGGGGGGCGAACCGCCTTCGGTTTGGGACTGGTCGGAGGTCACGGCGCTGGAGGAGGTGCTGGGACTCATCAGGGTGAAGTTTGACCAGGGCGCGATGGGCCACATAAAGCGGAAGCCGACGATGCTGCTGACCAGCATCAAGGATCTACGGCAGCTGGATGGCATGAGGGGACCTGGAGTTGGAGGAGCGGGGAACCGCGAATCTAGCAGCTGGGCGCTGGATGAGGCGATCAAGAGACAGGTCGTGGCGGCGTCAAGGATGGCAAAGGCATCGGCGGAGGACATGTGGAAGAGCCACGTCGAGAATGGCCACACCCCATTTCGCCGAGACTGCAGGGCTTGCATCCAGGGTGGGCTCAGAGGAAGGAGCCATCGGAAGAGGAGTCACCCGGCTTTGGCCACTTTGTCAATCGACGTGACGGGCCCGTTCAAGACATCCAAGGAGAGGCATCGCTATTTGCTGGTGGGCTCCTATGTCACGGCGGTGGCGGAAAACATGGCCAAGGAAAATGAAGTGGAGAAGGAAGCCGGAGGAGAAGCGCTTGGAGAAGACCCGAGCGAGGACCCGTTTGAGGAGATGTTCGATGAGGATGAGAGAAGGGAAGAAGAGCATCCAGCTCCGGGGGGCTGGAAGGTGTGGTCACAAGGACCATCATGATGGTGGAGCCGCTGAAGACCAGGAGAGCGGCGGAGGTGATTGCGGCAACGCAGTCGATGGTGGCCAAGCTTCGGTGGTGGGGCTTCGAGGTGGCGAGGCTTCATTCTGATCGAGGACGGGAGCTGGTTTCAACAGCGTTGAGGAGGTGGGCGGTGAGTCATGAGCTGTATAAGACGCGGTCGAGCCCCGATGAGCCGCAAGCCAATGGCCGGGCGGAGGCAGCGGTTGGCTGGGTGAAGCGGAAAGCGCGGGCACTGCTGCTGGCGGCGGGGGCCAACGCCAATTTGTGGCACGGGGCAGCTTTGCAGGCGGTGGAGATCAGGAATCGGAAGATCATGCGGGATATGGGTTCCCCGCAGCTGCAGCTGCCGGTCTTCGGGCAGAAGGTGGTGGTGAAGAAGAGGAGATGGAAGAGAGAAGCTTGGGAGGCGACCACGCAGAACGCGACCTACGTGGGGCCGTGCCCGGACATGACCTTCTGTTTCAGGGTGATGGACCAAGGGGGCAGCATCTACACGGTGTCGCAGGTCGTGCCCGAGCCGAGAGATCAGAAGGTGGACATCCCGGTGGTGGGTGAGCTATGGACCAGGAGAAGGAGGCTGCGAGGAAAGCAGAAAGATGAGGAGGCTGGAGGAGCCGATGAGGAGCCGAGGATCAGCAAGGTGGAAGAAAGTGAAGAGCAGGTGGAAGTGTCCTTGGACCCGGAGTGGGTAGGGGTCGGGAAGGACTGGATCGATGCGATGGCGAAAAGGCAGGTGGTATGGTCGCAGGAGAAGGATAGGTGCCTTGAGCTGGTCATGGATGACTTGGAGATGGGTGGCACCGGAGAGGAGTGGGCAGAAGTGCTGGGAAGGCTGGACATCCAGCAGAGCTGCACAGAGGAGGAGATGGTGGAGGTCACCCGCGAGGAACGCCCGAAAGCAGGTCTGAGGGCGATGGATGTGGTGGCGGAAGAGGAGATGTTTCTCCAGACGAAGATCATCGGTCTGGAGCAGGTGAGGAGAGAGATGGAGCTGTGGGTGCCGACGATGAAGAAGGAGGTCGGTGCGCTGTTGGAGAAAACGGCCATACGGGAGGTGAGAGAAGAGGAGGTAGACAGATGGGAGCGGGAAGGTGAAGCGGTGCAGAGAGCGCCAGGGAAAGCGGTGTTTACCCGCAAGTCAGGCGATGGAAGGAGGAAGTGCGCTGCTTCGGAAGGCGGCGGCTATGAGGTGGTCAGTGGGCAGCTTGGACATCAGGACGGCGTTCCTGAATGCCCCGAGGAGATCGGCTCATCGGGTGGTGGTGAGACCGCCGAGGATCCTCATCGATGCAAGGTCGTGGAGCCGGGCATCATGTGGGAGGTGACGAAGGCTCTCTATGGGCTGAGGGCTTCACCAGCCGATTGGGGAGCGCACCGGGATGACACGCTCAGGAGGCGGAAGGTGGACATTGGTGGGGGACAGGTGCTGGTATTGCATCGGGCCTTCGCTGATGAGAACCTGTGGAAGATTAAGCTGGGTGAGGCCACGGTGGGGTTCATCCTGCTGCTACGTGGATGACATGATGATCATCGGGGAGCAGAGCATCGTGGAGGTGATGGCTGGCCACATCAAGAAGGAGTGGGACGCCACGGACCTGGAGTGAAAGCCGGGAGGAGGTGGGGAAATCCTGGTTGGGCAGGAGGATTACATCAAGGATGTCATCAACAGGTACGAGAGCGAGGTGAAGGAGAAGCTCATCCTGGTACCGAAGGAGATCGAGAAGGACGGAGAAGATGAGGAGCAGGATATGGCGATGGTTCGGCGAGCACAAACGCTGTCGGGGGAGTTGCTGTGGGCGACCCGGACAAGGCCGGACATCAGCTATGGCGTGAACCGCATCAGCCAGCTGATTGCGCGGCAGGCGAGGCGGGCCTATGATATGGGAATCTACCTGTTGGGCTTCCTCAAGAAAACGGTGGATTGGAAGTTGGAGTTTGGGGCCGCGGCGGAGGGCCACGGAGAGAACGGGGAGTATGTGTACGAGAGGGGCATGAACACGGTGGAGGTCTACGCAGACGCCGGCTTCGGGCCGGATGGCGGCCGCTCGCAGCAGGGGGTCATCGTGTGCTATGGTGGCTGCCCAATTCATTGGACGAGCACGCGGCAGCCGTTCGTGGCAAGGTCGACCGCGGAGGCGGAGTTGTTGGCAGCCATGGAGGGGGTGCTGCAAGGGGAAGCCTGGGCGGAGATCATCGCCGACCTAGAAGACAGGAAGGTGGCATCGGCGTGGGAAAGGGCTGGCATCGATGTGGAGGGGCGGGACCAGCTGAGATCGTTGAAGCTGGTGATGATGCAGGACAATGCGGCAGCTGTCACGCTACTGCAGGGCCCGGGTGGGTCATGGAGAACGAGGCCACTCAAGATCCGGGCCAGGTCGGCCAGGGAGAGATTTGAGAATGGCTTCTGGGCGTTGCACTTGCCGGGCGAGACGTTGGCGGACATCGGCACCAAGGCCTTGGGAAGCTCTCGCTTGAGAGCACTGGCCGAGATAATGAGAGCACTGGGTATGAAGATGGGCGAGAGCGACGCGATCCCGGAGAACCTTGTGGAGGCCGGGGCGGCCGCGGCCAGAGGGTGGTGAGCGTGGAGCACGAGCGCCTGAAGGTATTGACGGGCACGTGCATGCTGGCTGACGGCATAGAGGAGGAAGCTTCCCGGGAGGAGCTTCTGCTTTGGACGGCGCTTCTGGTGGCGGTGGTGGCCGCGTGGGAGGCGTTGAAGTGGAGTGCGAGAAAAGCGGCAGACGTGGTGCGGAACCTGCAGAAGGGGGAGGACTGCGGGAGTATGCCGACTACCGGAGGTGGAGTGAAGGTTAAGACAATGAAGGGTGGCGAGGAGAGGGCCGTGCAGAGGTTGCTTGAGAAAAGGGCAGAAAGTGAGAGCTGCGAGGAGAGGCGAGGACGGAGCACAGGAGGGGGAGGAAGGGCGGGCAGCAGTAGCGCTGCGGACTGGCTCGAGAGAGAGGTTGACAGAGGGAGCTCGCATGAGAGAAATGCAGGCTGGACAGCCGGAGGTGGAGAAGCGAAGCAGACCAGGTTGACGCCGGAGAAGAGTTTCGCGGCGGAGTGGAAGGTCTCCTTGGATGTTGAGGAGGCTGTGATCTGGGAGGATGTGAAGAAGATCTTCCCGGGCATCATGAAGGAGCCGGCTGGGACAGAAGACCGCTGGTTGGAGAAGGGCGGCTACTACATCAAGATGCATTGCAGGAGGCGGGTCTCCGAGTTTGACCCACGGAGGGGCTACATGCCGAAGGAGAAGATCGGGCCGGAGAGGATCACGGTGATGAGGACTTCGGGGCCCATCTTTGTGCTGGGCGGCGACTACACGGTGGGGTCGCGGTCTGGCCTGAGAGAGTTCGTGGGCTTCACGATCTTCAAGAAGATCAAGGGGGAGCCGGAGGTGGGGTCTTGAGCTGGCGCCAATGAGCGCAAGGGTGGCCCAGATCTGTACAGAAGCTCGGAGCCATACATTTTGGAGGTTGGCACAAAGTGCCAAGGTTGGTGCATGAGATGTGTGCCCCACGTGTTGAACATGCGGATGAACCGATTCCCGCAGACCCTTTCATGCTTTGAAGGAGGAAAAGGCGCCCCGGAGGTTTGCAGAAACAAATCCAACGAATTACATGGTTTGCCGGGCACAAGTCGACTTGATTGAGCACTCGGGACGAAGCCCTTGAGCGTGGTTTCGTCCCGATTCCGAGCGAATTCAGGAACCGTCCGAGTCCTGCTTCCAGAGCTTCTTGTCCGTGTCCCACTCGCTACCTCTATGTCATCTCAGGCACACGTGTGAGCTTCATGAGTACATGCGTCCGAGGAGAAGACTCACTGCTCGCACATGTGTCCAGCCTGAGCGTGACAATTTGTGACAAAACTTGAAACATCTCGAGGCCCGGGCCGCCAAGCCAATAGTTGCTCTCCTGTGTCCGGACAGCCTCGAGCCAGCTCCCTCTCGGCACATTGGCACATCGGCACATCGGCACAGACATGGCACTGGCCTCTGAAATGGCATGGTCCCACACATCGTAGAGCGACATAGTTTGACCTCGGCTTTTGAAAGTTCGTTCCGCTTTCCAGGACGCAATTCTCATTTGGCATGCGCACCCCGGAACTTCACCAGCACCTTGCGGCCGCTGTTGTCGCCAGCATAGCCCACATGCAGGGGCCTCGATGTGATGCTGGAGTTGGATGGACAAGTTGCAAAATCCCCATGGGTCTTGGTGCGTGACTGATGAAGATCCCCAACCAGATTGATCAGCATCTTCAGGAAGTCGGCGTCTGAAAATTTGATGCCCTGTGCACATCTGCGCGCAATCTGAGAATCTGCGCGCATCTGCTCGCTGACCCGTCCAGGCCTTGGCCACCATATTGTAGTCAATGGCCGGGTACTCGATCCTGTCGCAGCACATCCCGTATGCCGACCTCCGACTCCAAGACTGGCCTCCGGCCCTCATCGGACAGGACCTAAAGCACAACAAGATGAAAACCACTCGCACCTGGGGGCTTGCAGCTGGGGAATCGAGGGATGCCGAACCATTCCACTCGGGACCTGCAAGCCTTCAATCGAACCGCCGCAACGTCGTCCATACTGTGTTTCATGTTCTGTCCGTTCACAACGCCGCTGATTCAGCACGATGGGCAAGCAAATCAAGCAAGCGATGTGGCAAGCAAGGCTTTGCTCTAAACAAGAAGCAACTGAAACAGCGAGACAAGCCAGTGTGCAAGTGAAATTGTACACATGTTCATGTTCGAGCCTTGCCATAGAAGTGCTTGATGGCTTCAAGCAAGCAAATGTTGTCCTCGCCATCATTAGTCTTCTTGCGATCATGTTCACAGCGGACGCCGCCTCGCACTGGGCGGAACGGGTCTCTGCGCAGAAGCCAGAGGCATCGTCGTGCACCTGTGACGTGACGCCGTGCTCGGTGACGCTGAAATGCTTTGCAACTCGCTGCAACTCGAGTTGGAATTGCTCGTGTCCTGGAAATGGAGTCGCGCCATGTCAGGGTAGGTGTCATCAACCTGGAAGTCTCACTCGGTCGCTCGGTCTCACTCGCATCCCCACCTGATGCCCCCAACCAGCAACATCGGATGCATCCTGCGAAATGCCCGTCTCGGAGTTGAGTTGACATGGGCCCGAATCCGCCCGTGAAAGTGTCCTGCCCGCCCATCATGCGCTTGATCTGCCTCAGAGGCGGAAAATCACGCTGGACTTCCCGAAGGATGGGCTGTTGACTTGATGGCTTCTTGGTCCATCGCACTGGCCTTAAAGCTCGCGCTCTGAGAATGCGTTGAATTATGCACATTCTGTGCTATGTAACATCGAGCACACCTGTCACAAAAAGCCCGTTCGGACTGCCTGGCACCCCCTGTGCACCCCGGCACATGTCTGGCCAATGGCATCGTGTGCTTCGATATCGAAGGACTCAGTGACATCGCTCCACATCCGTCCAACTCATGCGACTGAGGGCAGCACAGCTGCGCGGAGCAGGGCCAGGCCCCTGTTCACTTCAAACTCGATGCGAACGGGCAAACAAGCAATCTCACATTTCTGAAACTCTCTTGGCCAAACACCACAACCGCCAGGGCATACGGGCGGTCCCGGGCGTGACCCTTGCAAACGCTACTTGGAGTCTTGGCCCAAACAATGCTGGCTCTGTTTGAGTTGCGTGGTCATGCATGATCTGCTTAATAATTGCTTGAGCCGGGTGTCACGAAGTCGTTGACCACGGACATCCGCGAGTCGTGAATATCCGTCCATATCGATGCATATCTATGCATCTCTTTTACCATGCCACATAAGCAGTGCAGTCAGCTGCTGGACTGACTATGGTACGGTTCCGACTCAAGTGCTCATTAACCGGGCGTTGGCCTGAGCGCACTGGAGTCATCAAGTCGCTAAGATTCCAAGCGTTCCAAGCGGCTCAGTCCGTGGAGCTGGACTCCTCGAGCGCAAAATTCAAACACTCGGGAGGCAAACTGCACTGCAAGGCGACATATGAAAAGCTAGCTCATATAAGGAGAACAAAGGAGAACAAAGGAGAACATAGGAACTGCATGCATCGATGCGGCCGGGGGCAGCAGGTTTTGAAGGTTCGGCGCTGAAGACCAGCGGGCGCTTTCTCGAATAAGTGGGCCATGAGCCTGAGTGCACTCGCCCCTTCAAACAGTCAACGAAGAATCCCTGAGACCTGTGCTCGCTGTGTCTTGGACCAGGCTGCCCGTGAGTGACTCGGAACGCCAAGTGTTTCAGAACTGCAGGTCCCTGGTGACTTTTTGCATTCAATAGAACCGCGCTCATCCACTGCAGCTCTCCTCCTCGCTTCTTTTCCTCCCGCCCTACTTCACTCATCCCGTTTGCGCTTAAAATGACATCCTCTTCCGAACGTCTGTGGTACTAAAAAACCGATTGAGCGGTGGTTTTGTTTGCGTATATTTGCATTGCGCGTGGAAAGCTTTTGCAAATGGCATTGCGAGAGCTGGGGAATGGCCGGCCCCGGAATGCGTCATGCGTCATGATGCGCCCCTTCAAGTGCATCGACGGACGGACGCTGAGCAGGCTTGGACCTTTGGAAACGGGCGGCCGCGCACGCATGGGTCGACGCTAAACAACTCGATGGTTTGCGGCGATCAGTTTGCGAACCCTTCAAACCTTGGCATTGTGCGTTTTTCAGTTGAGGGCTAAAGAGATAGAGAGAGAGAGAGAGCGAAACAGAGAAGAGGGAGAAAAGAAGCGCTCGTATCTTTGACACTTCCGCCCGATTCCGCCTCTCGGACTTTGGCATCATGATCTTGAGATGCTCTGAGGCTTTCGCTTGAGGTTCATGTTAGCCAAGGCGTGCATCTTGGTGGTCACAAGCAGCTCGGACACGCTCACGGTGCCAGACCTGCGACATCTCTGTCTTAGGTGGAAACACACAACAGACAAGATTCTCCTGGACTTCCCACGCTCCCCTCGTTTTAGAACCAAATTGTTCAAGGTGCACAGTGAGGCGCACGATGTGCACAAGCAGGTGATCTCAGGTGACAGTGAGTAAAATTCGGACGCGTGCGAAAAGAAAGTTAGGGGAAAGCGTGCCCGGCCGTGCCTCCCTGCGAACACCCTCCGGGAAATGATTGCATGCGCTCTGATCTGTACAGAATGTGTGGGGTCAAACGTACAGTGCGCACGGAGTCAAAGGGGTTCATACAAGGGAAAACATCGCCGCATGAGTTCGCCTTTGCTGGCCCTCCTCGTCTGTGTCCACCTGCACACACCAGACACAGCAGAAGCGATGGGTCAAGCCAGGCCTCCACTGCACCGCAAAGCACTGCACCGCATTCAGCCTGGACTTCCGTCATCATATCGCTTGCCATGCCTTGGCATTTGCCTCCTCCTCGCTTGTCGATTCCTCGTGCAAATGCATGCCTGCGTGCGCCGCGTGACTGCGTGCGTCATACTGCATCATACTGCGTCCTCCTCCACTGTTTCGCTCTCCTCTTCCGAGGACTCCACCCTGGGCACGGAACTGCTCGCGAGCGCTCGCCGAGTCTGCCTCGGCGAGCGCCTTGACGCTTCGGCCTCTGCAGGCCCGGTCACGAGCCTCGGCCGGATTGCGCCCCGCGCTGCAAGAGTGCAGCCAGGGTAAACAGAAAAGTATGAGGGCTCTGTTCAAGCAAACCATATCGGGCCTGGCTGTGAACAAGCACGTTGCCGGTTGGCAAAGGGACTCAGGGCCCAAACATGATGATGCCACCCAGCACGGTGAGGGAACTGGAGGCCAAGCCCGTCCTCATTGTAAATCAGAGTTCCAAGAGTTTCAAGACTTGGGCACGCGCCAGGAGTCGACTTGCTGCCACTCTTCCAACCTCAAAGATCTCTCTCGCTCGAAGGTCTGGGCGCTCGCTGGGTTCTTGGCACAACCAGGCCAGTCGCCACCTGTCCGAGAGGACCGAACCGGACGCGAGAAGTCCGTCTGAAACTCCAAGGCGCAGGCACTCACAAAGATGTTCAGCACTGTGCTGATGGGAATGAAGAGGAGCACGTCGCATCGGTGGCAACCGATGATCGTCCCAACTCGCATCCCAACCTGAGATTCAATCGTGAAGCGCTCGCGCTGAACTCTGAAGTATGCCTTCTGCTTGGCCCAGCAGCTAGAAAGATGACATTCACGACGACGGAAATCCAGAAGAGGGCCGATTCAAGCGCGGCAGCCCTTGCGCTTGCGCTAGAAAGGCTCTTTCCGGATAGGTCATTAGATGTCATTAGCTCATGCGGGCGTGTTTTCGGCTGTTCGGACAAGCGGCGGGCCGAGTTTCAAGGCGGCGGCCCAACCCTTGGCCGCCACGTCCATCTCTGCCGAACTGCAGGAGGTGACGATGCACACCGCCAAAACCTGGCAAATGCCGAAATGCCGAATTCATCCAAATCCATCCAAATTCATCTGAATTCATTGCCTCTTTCAGATCCTGATTGCACATTCTCCTGCAAAGTCTGGCCATCTCCGGTATTGACCTTGACCTGACCAGAGGCCTTGTATCAGTGGCCTCCATCGGTTTCTCCTGCAAGGAAAACTCTCGGCTTTTACTATCCGACTCCCGGACTCCCGGACTCCCTGACTCCCGGCTCCTCCTCTCTCTCCTCTCTCTCGCCTTCTTGCGGTTGAGCTTTCTTCCTCCAGAAACGGCCTGTGCAACTTCATCCAAATGTAGGGCTTTCTGAGATTTCTGCTTCAAGGCCAGGACCATGATGGAAGTTTGGCCAAAGACCTGTCAACTATGCGAACACAAGGCCTGCGAACAATGCAGTCGAGAAAATCTTGGGAGGGTTCGGCAAATGTTTGAACCCGCTAAGCGTTCAGTTCCGAAGTCAAGTGGACCCTCGCGGAATGGCCCAATCCGGCTGCCTGATGAGTTCAGTCTTCTGGAGCGGCGAAGCAGGCAGCTCCTGCAAACTCGCGAGCTCGCGGGCTCGCGGGCTCTAACTTCCCTAAGCTGGCCGTTTTTGAATGCGCTCTTTCATCATATAGAGAACCTAAGCGTGCTCTTTCATCCCCCGATGTGTGCGCGCTTTGGGGCCACGGCAGCCGCAAGGGTTGCTACCACCAGGACGGTGTTCCAGGCCTGGTACACGTCCAAGTCCAATGAAGTTCAGTGCAGCTTTGCAACATGCAAAGGTTACCAAAGGTTCCAACTTATGCACCACCCGTAGGTGCACTCTCTCTTGGTGGCCAACAATTGATACGGGTCTCGCCACGACGTCCATGAAGACGGAGACGGTCACCTCGAGGCGAAAGACTTGAAAGGTGAAGCACACAAGATTGAAAGTTTAAGTTAGTGCGGACCTCCGGATTGCCTCCGGATGGCCTCCGGATGGCCTGATTTTCAAGCTTCGGGCCTCTGGGCCCGGGTCACCCTGGAAGAGGGTGAAGCACACCACACCTCTGCCAAAAGAAAAACCTTCGATGGCCTGGTGGCCTGGGCCTGAAAGCGTGACCAATGTCCCCAACGCATCGCTGGATGTCAAGGGCCGAAGATGAAAGACCTCTGAGCAGTCTGAGCATGCGAGTCTCTGAGGGTGTGCCAGCCGATCGCACCATCTGCGCCTGGCTGAAGAGTGCATTCGCAGGGAGTGTGGCTCCCGCACGCACCACCACCACCAGCGCAACCTCAGTGCGAAAACAGGGACTGACGGACTGGACTGGGAGGGACTGGGAGGGACTGGGAGGGACTGGGACGGACTGGGACGGACTGGGACAGACTCAGAGTCAGGCCGGCCCGTACGCAAGGCCGACCAGTGACAGCACACCAAAGATGGTGGAGCCTGTGTCGCCCGACTGTCTGCCCCCACAGCGCACTTTCCCGTGCCTATCGCCCCCAGTATGAAGCGGATGCGGCTGCGCTCTGTGTGTTTGCCTCCATTCAGCTGCCTTCGCAACGGGACGATACGGGAGGAAGGCAATTTTGGCTCAAGATGTTTTTCAACCAAGGAACCGCTGCTTGTCAGCTGAGGACAAGAGGCAACCAAAGAAGCCCACACCGACTCCCGCCAGCGCAGACGCAACAACACCTGTGGCGCTTCCTCTCTCTGTATCTCCAGTGCTACATTTTCACATGCTTTCGGATCTCGGGTCTACCCTTTCTTGCACCGCTTGGCAAGTTGGGCCCTTTTCGTCCAGGGCTCAAATGAGGACATCTTTGTAGGTGGCCAAGATCGTTGCAGGAGATGTGATCACTGAATGCAGTTCCATGGCACGCCATGGCACATCGGTCGGCGCAATCTCCGTTTCAGCTTTGAATGCTTGCGTGAGAATGAGCATGTAAGCCTTGCAAGGAATGTACGCTTTGTAAGCTCAACAGTTCATTTTACCCTTTCCCTTTGCATTGCATGTCATGTGCTCGCAATCAGAAGGGCCTCACACCTGCAAAACTCTGAGCAGTACAAGCGCCGTGAGATTGCTGCCATTCAGAGAAACCCTGCTCTCAAATAACACGTCAGCAACGGACACATGCTTTTTCGGAGTCATTGGCTTAGGCTCGGCAGCTGAACTTTGGCAAAGCAACCGGTGCGGACTGCGTTGGACGTGCGCTAGATTGATCGTGTCCACGCTTCCCTCTGCAAGATTTCTGAGATCAGCTCCTCCCGCTCATGCAGTGGGCTGAGACGCGACTGAGTGTCTTCGGAAGGCCCCTTGAGTGAGACGTGTGGGTACCCGGACCCAGACCCCCCAAACCCTCCAGACCCTCGTGAAGGTATGGAAGGCGACTTGGCACGTCTGGAAGGCCCGGAAGGCCCGGAAGGTCCGGGAGGCGCCCGGGGAGCTTTGAGGCGCTGCTGGCGCCGCTCCTCCCAGGCATTCTGCCGCTCCAGGAAGCCCCGCAAGTCTCCAAACTTCTCCTCAGACTATGCGGACTTTGGCCGCTACGTCAGCTGTGTGACTCAAGGCTTTTCACTGTGCTTGCTGCCGAAAGCGTGTTTGCTGTGTCCAACATCTTGCCAAGACCTTGGCCACGCGCCCGTGGGCGGACCCCGAAGCAAGCAAACAAACACACAACCAGGCAACCAAACTAACGAACGGGCCAACTATCTGGCTAGCATCAAGCAAAAAAACAAACACGCAGCGAAAGCACACTTGGGGCCTGTTGACGCAAGTGCAAGAATGCAAGGGAAAGTTCAAAAGCGCAATGTTTGTTGCTGCTGATGGATTCATCAAGCTTGGGTGTCGTGCTGGCATTCCCCAAAAGGACAAGGGCTGGGTCTGCCCAGCCTCGCAGCAGCCCACTGGGCCGAGATTGGAGGCAGAGATTGGTGGAGGTACTCATGAAGCTGGGAGGGCGGAAGTCGACTACGGCCCTCCCAGGGCGACACATCTGCGAGGCTTCGTCGCACGGACGATCTGCGCCGGACCGACAACGGAAGTGGACCAAGAGGTCAAGAAAGGTCGACGCGTGTTTCGAAACAATCTCCAGGGCAATGGTGACACCGCCCCCACTACCAACCGCGCTCCGATGGCAAAACGCGATGCGCAGGCCTGGCGGTCGGACGTGGTGCGCACTGATTGCACTCGCGCTGGCCTCTTCGGATGCTCGTTCGAGGCAAGCACACGCACGCCCCTTCCACCGTCGTGGGCGCAATCATCGGCAAGCTGGGCGGGCCCTTCAGTTTCCTGCGTCAGGGGGCCGCGGCCGCAAGTCACAAGTGAAGAACCCGAGCAACGTCTCCAGCAGCTGGCTGGCACCGCAAACTTCAACAGCGCGGTGATCCAGACGAAAGCTAGATGGCTGCTGAGAAACCCAATCTTCGGAGCTTTACGAGAAGGTTCTCATGTGTGTTTGGTAAGCCGTGCTTTGGGGCACAAAACCTTTACAGGCCTTGCGCTGCATTTTCGCGAGTGTTCCTAGGTGCAGTCTTCTCAGCGCGGGAAGCCCAGGCGCAACGCTCGCTTGCCATTGCTGATTCACCAGAAGGGAACTTGAGCGCGAGCCTGACAGTCTGTCAAGGTCGCCCGCAAACACCCAAGACAAAGTTAAGTGCGAAAGCGGCTGAAAGACCGGTCAAAACCAATGTCAAGCTTCAATCAAAGATCCTCAGCAAATGAGAAAGCGCGTGAGGAATGACTGCGAAGAGGCCAACACCACGATTAAGATGCCGCGTGAGGCCTTGGGGGCTACAAGAAAACTACGCTACCATTTGTCGAAGAACTGGAGGGGAGCCGGAACTCGCGAGACACCAGGTGATTAAAGACACATAGGAAATGGAAATAGCACAGAAGGTCGCTGAGGAAAAGAATAAGTCGAAACTGCTTTTGCTGCAAGTCACACAAGCTTTTCGTGAAGATGCCGGAACAAATGAAACGGACAATCAACTTCACGGGTCAATCAACAGAGAGGAGGTCGTTGCTCGATCATCGAACGCACGATCCGAAAACGTGGGCATGGAAGCGTCCATGCAAGTTGTGCATTTCCAGGGCTTTGTCGCTGGCATTGAGTCTCAAGCGAGGTGTGAGAGCGTCAAAAGCGAGGAAGTGACATAGGGACTTCCCAAACAGCTAGAAGAAGCATTGGTCGAGAAAACGCTTGTGACCAGGGCAAGTGATGCAGGCTACGCACAGCAAGAAGCATTCAGGGCCAGAACAACTAAGGAGAGATGACTATTTGAAGCAAAAGAGAAGGAAGAAGAAAGCCGGGCGGCGCTACTCAGCGCAGAGATGAAGGACAGGGATGCGCATCCGATGGCCTTACAAGATGAAGCGTGAGCGTGTCGCGACTGAGATACGACCAGCACACGATTGAGAAGAGTTTCGAAGTGTTGGCTAGCAGGGGCACCTCATGAGCGTGCCCTGTTAAGGTTCAGTCCGAGCTCAAGGGCATCCTGTCACGCCGAACCGGAAAGGTGGATCGTCCTGATCGCTTTGGTCTGGCCTGGACCACTGGACCGAAAACAAACACATTCACGCAAACGCACAGACACTAACAAACAACGACGAACAAAGTCAACCAATCAATCAGTCGTTGATAGGTCTATCAGTGAGGCACTCCATCAATCTACCAATCAGTCCTGTCCAGACAAGTCCAGTCCATCAATCACGAAAGCGAGCAAGCAACGAAACACCCACACACACAAACATTCAGTGAATGAATCAATGAAACAATCAAGCAAACAAACTGCCACTCCATGAATCCAACAAATCAAACAAAACAAGCGGCAGCTAACCAAACAGAACACACGGCAAACCATCCAACCAACCAACCACCAAACAAACAATCAAACGCGCAAACACAGACAGCCAGCCAACCAGCCAATCAGCCAACCAGCCAACCAACAAGGCGAGCCCCGACAAAACAAGCACGCAAACAAACGAACAAACGTACAAGCAAGCAAGCAAACAAACAAAGACTCACATTCCTAGCACGCACACACACACACACACGCGCACGCACACACTCAAACAAACACGATCTGGAAAATTCAAGGACTTGCAAGTCACACGCACCGCAAACCGAAGTATGCGAAGTGACTCAGCACCTTTTCCTCAGGTGCATGCTTGAGCCACCAAAGTGGCAGTCGTATCACGACATAGGCATGGGGGAAAAGTGTAAATTTGACACGCCCCCTTGGATACATTGAGAGAACACTAAAGTCTGTACATGCAACGCGACAAATGCTTGATCTGCAAAAGTTGTTTTCCTCGTGGTGTGTGCATACAAAAGTGAGTGAATAAAAAAGTGGGAACTCACAGAAGTATGTGTTGGCATCAAAGTCCTGATGCGGGCGCCATTGAAGTCGCCTTGACAAGTCACTCCTGTTTCCGATGGAAAGCTTTCGTGTCTTAATCCATCAACAGTTCAACCAAAGTTCTGTGCGAAGCTCTTCTCACATGCAAAAGCTGTTCAAAGTTTGGGCCTGGCACGCCAGTAAAAAAAGTCCAATGGCATGGTGAGTTCATTTGAAAGTTTACCCACCTGCTCATGCCACAAAGGGTTAATGTGGATGTGCGGGAGATTTCCCCACAAGTCTGTCCGGCGAAGTTCCACTTCTCGCTGGTTCACAGCGCGCTCAATTGGAAAGTCGATCTTTGCCTTGATCAAAGTGATTGACTGAAGCGTCACTAGGTCAGAGGTCGAAAAGGTACCACCCTTCATCAAGTAGAAGTCCAAACAGTACCTATTCCAAATCTTGATCAAACTTTGTGACCCCTGGATACCCCAGTTCAACATGTTGGCATGTCATGGACACTTGTATAGGTTTGTCATGATTTTCATGCAGTTGCTCTTGAATAAGCTTGAGCTTTACATACCGGAGGCTTTTGATTGCGTCAAGGAAAAGTGATCGTGGTAGCGGAGCTGGACGTGCCGGGCAATCAGCCACAGGAAGCGGTTCTTCGAGTAGGTCCCCACAAGCAGATTGGTTTAAGGTGATTCCTCGACCTGAGGTTTTCAATTACCGCAGCGCAGATGAGGAAGCCAAAGCATTCCGTGAATGGGCATGGCAGTTTGAGAATTATTTGTCAGCAGTGGATGAGCCATTTCCTGTTTTGCTTGCAGTCATAAAGGAGCACTCAGATACCGAGATTGTGATGGGAAATTTGACTTCAGAAAACCAAGTACGCAGCATGAAAATGTATGGTTTGCTTTCCAGTTTGGTGCGCAACAGAGCCTTGGCAGAGCCTTGGCAGTTGTGAAGGCAGTGCCTGGGTCAAATGGTCTTGAGGCATGGCGGCAACTTTGTGCAGCATTGCGTCAGTCCAAATCTCGTGGATTGGCAATTGTTGCAGCAATATCGTCGTGGCCTTCGTTTGATATGAACAAGAGTTTGCAAGCGCAGATGTTGAAGTTGGAGGAAGCTTGCAATGAGAGTAGCAGCGTGGGAGTGACTTTGCAAGATGACATTCGCGCAGCAATTCTGTTGAAGTGTGTTTCAGGTAACCTTCGCACACAGCTCAACATGGTGGTTTCAGACACAACAACTTATGCGCAGATCAGGGAGAACATCCTCAAGTTTGAGCGTAGTCAACAGAAGTGGTCAGCAACACTTGCTTTGGGAACAGACAGTAATGACTATTCGGGACCGAGCCCTATGGACGTTGACCGCGTTGGATTTGAAAACCAGCAATGGGGATCATGGTATGGCAACTACAACAATCAGCAGTACAACAACAAAGGCAAGCATGACAAAGCGAACAAAGGCAAAGGCAAAGACAAGCAGCCAAGCATGGCAAGAAAGGCAAGTTTAGCAAAGGTGACAAAGGCAAGCACGATGGGAAAGGCAAGAATTAGTATGGCAAGCAACACAACACGTGGTGGAATCATCAATGGCAATACGGCGGCAAATGGCAGCATCAGCCACACAAAGGTGGTAAGTCAAAGCATGAGAAAAGTGGCAAGGGCAAAGGCGAGCACAATGTTCGGCAAGTTGAGGAACAACCTCAAACCCAGCAGAACATTCAGCCACAAGCTCAACCAGCCCAGCAAGCTCAGCCTCAGCGTGACAACGTGCGGCAAGTGGCATTGTGCGAGCCATTGGAACCTGTTGTCATTTATGAGTTGGAGCAAGATTTTTCTTCTGAGTTGGATGTGAGTACCGCGTGCCGCAGCCGTGTTTGCATGGTTTCTTTTAGCAACTCTGGCAACGTGGAGCAGCTTTGCATGAGTGATTGTGAGTCAGAGCAGCATGACAACAGCGTGGACATTTGCAAAATTTATGACTGCAATTGGAGTGACCGCGAGACTTTCCCATGGAGTTTGCTTGCGCCGGGATGAACAGTTTTCGAGATGATGTTATCCATGATACGTCTTCAGATGAGATTGCAGGTATTCCTTCAGTTCGTGCAGTGACGAGCAGTGCAACAAATTCTTTTGATATTGTGCTTGACAGCGGGGCGGACATTTCAGTTTTCC